AGGGAGCCCGATGTGGGACTCGATCCCAGGACCCTGGGATCATGACCTGAGCCGAAGGCAGACGCTTAACGACTGAGCCACCCAGGCGCCCGAAGCCCTGATTTATATATCCTGTTCCGCATCTGGCTAATCTAGCAAATATGTTTTCATGGAAGATGGTAATTCTGAGTGTGACTTTTAGGCTCTGTTCCCGAAAAGAATTATAATCAGTAGCATTTTTGTAAATAATGTAGACTGTGGTGTCTTTACAAAAACAATGATCAATTAAACCCTTAGTCAAAACCTTCTTGTTGGAACCAGATGCTGCCCTGACTGAGCTAATTAACACTTGGGTTTAAATCACCAAGTTTTTCATTGTTACTTTTCTGAGTTCTTAGTCATTCGCATGGTAAAGCCTTTGTTCTTAACATAGCCTGGATTAGATTATTTTGTAAAGAGTCTTCAAGTTAAAAATTAGTATTTTTCAGATCCGCCAAAAAATAATGGATTATTTTACTAAGCAATCTTGGAAAACAGCTCAACAACATCTGAACACAATGAACCATCAGATTCAGGAGTATAGGTCTGTAATAAAAACCTCTTGTGAAATCTTCTGAATGCTATAGTTTACAAAAATAACCTCATTTTGTTTCTTTAATAGGATCAAAAAACTTGATAAGTTCCAATTCATCATCATAGAGGAGCTGGAGAATTTTGAAAAAGATTCACAGTCTTTAAAAGATTTGGAGAAGGAGTTTGTGGTTTGTGCTTTTAAGAACTTTTTTAAAGAGCTACACTCGGGAAAACTGTTAATTTTGTTCTTTAGGAAATGGTTTTAGATTTCATATACACACACTTGTAGACTGAAGCTTATGATAAATACCTTTGATAATAAGGGGAGAACCCTGAGAGAGAGAGTATAATATCTAGAATATGCTTAGCATATAGCCACATTGTTTATTTAAATTAGGAATATAGTAATTCTCCAAGGGTTAATTTTTGTATTTTAAAATTTAGGATTTTTGGGAGAAGACATTTCAGAAGTTCAGTGCCTATCAAAAAAGTGAACAGCAGAGGTTAGTGTGATTTTTAGATTAAAAATTAAAAATGTATAATCACTATATTATAGCAATTTAAAATGATAACTACAAAGGTAACTCCTTTTGTTAGGCTTCACCTTTTGAAAGCGTCACTGGACAAAAATGTCTTCTACAACACTGATTATGAAGACACTGTTTTTACATCTGAGGTACCAGCTTTTACATGTTGATATATCCTCTCTCTCAATACCTCTTTGCTGTGAAAATTTTACAGTAAATTTCATAGATGAAATATGTATTTATAGATGTGTTCGATGAAAGAAAACATGAAAATGCTGCAAGACAGGCTCCTGAAGGAAACGGTAAGTCCACTCTCAGGTCAGGGTTTCACGTGCACCGGCCACCAGTCAATGACAATTCTGTCACGGGCTTTTCTTTCTTTTAGTTGTTTAAATTAGAATAATGGGAGCAAATTTATAGTAAAATATTAATAGAGGTGATTAAAATGAGTCCGTCCTAAGGAAAAAAGGAATATCAGTTTGCAAATTTTAAAATGAGTTAAAGAATGATTTCCTTGTAATGCACTTAATTTTAATAGAATCTCACTGTGCTGGATTAGTAGAAGATCAGGACTTTGTGGCTAAGCCACCTTAGCTTGAAGCAAACAAGCTAACTAGACTGGTGAATGAAATTCAGTCTAGAAAAAAAAAAATTTCAACAATTTGGTATTTCAAAGACTGGATCTCTCAGTTGATCTAGAATATCAGTGATGATCCCTGAATTCTGTAGCTAGCTAGGAATAGATCCGGGGGGGAGAGGGGTTAGATAGAATGAGCAGTGATACAAAATAACCTTATGAAAGGGATTGTTTTAAAAAGAAGCCCAAGTAATAGCTAGCTTTTTTTTTTTTTTTTTTCCTGTTTGGTGGTTTTACAGTGATAATTTAAAGTTTGATTTTTCCCCCCCCCTCCCCGGCTATAGCAAGAAGAGGAGCTTCTTAATGTACGCAGAGGACTGATGTCATTATTCATGGCTCATGAAAGAAATGTTCATGTGTGATGTCTAGTTGTTATCAACAAGTTTTATCCACTTATTCCTTTTTGTGTATAACAGGAAATACCAGAGTAGCCCTACAAAGAGAAAAATACACATGTCACCCAGGGAAGAGTGCTTTTGTAGGAGCCTCCAAATCCAAAGAAATGTCGTCTTATGGATGAGAAAGAACTACTTTAACATGACTCCAACCTCAAGAGACTTCTTTCTGTAGAATATTACTCTTCTTTTCAAACAGTAATAGGCATTTGCTCGTTTTTGTAGTAATATTTACATTGCACAAATCTTACCAAGTTAACTATACTCATAAAACTAGTTTAATAAAGTTTATCATATAAAATATATTTTAAATGAATACAGACTAAATAGAAGGTATTACTAGTTCAGAATATACTACATGTAATAAAAATTTAGCCATGCTGAGAAAGGGGAGAAGGCTCGGATTTAAGTCGGTACTTTGAGCACATCGTGGGAGAGTGTGTTTATTCAGTTATGGCTCCAGTTACTTTATTGTCCGAACATCTCTTCACTCCTAAGCAGGCTGTTTTGACCAGTACTTTTTAAGCTCCTAATAGTCATTATAATAGTATCTTGCTAAAATATAAAAATATACATTTGTTTTAATTGTATACTAAAGTTGAAATAAATGCTCTGTGACTTGAATAAGTATTATATTTTATGAACACTGGATCAAACAAAACATCCTTCTGCCATCAGACATCTGAACTGAAGCAGGATAGTAAGCAGCCGCACTCCCTATTGCTGGCCTGCAGAAGGGTAGCCGAGTGCGGGAATACTACCAGTATTTAAGTACAGTGGTAAAAGTGGGTTTCTTAGTCTAGCCAAGCAGAGGAATTCAGTTATTGGGAGGGCAGCAGGGATTCTATGTCAAGAGACAGTGACCGCTCTCTCTACTCGAACAGTAAATAATATTCAGGAGTTGAAAGTCCATGCTGCCCTCGGAGAGGACCCCTCCTGTTTGGCCACACTTACAGGTCTCCTAAATCATGTGTCACATGCCTTCCCTACTGCACTGTGTGTGTGTGACCCAGCCCAGGTCTCCACTGCCACCTACTTACTCAGTAGTTGTCCTGCTAAATCTCCCTTTCCAATGTTCTTTTCACCCCAACCTCCCCCTGCAGCTTGCTTTCTGGAGTAGTCCCGGGCCGTTCACTCCACCACTGTTCAGCTGTGCCTGTTACCTTCCTTGTCCCTCTTCCCTTCCTTATCCATTATAGATCCTCTAGTCAAAAATAATACTCTTTTCCCCCTCTTTCCTCTCACTGAGTCTGCTAATTGACACCCCTCATTCCACAATCGGAACATCACTGGAGAAAACTTATAATCAGGCTTAAATTTATGACCACATATTTCACATGGCTACTCAGCAATCCTACCTCTGCCCTGTTTAATTGACTTTACCACATTTCCAGAGTATTACCGCATATCAATACCACATACTTTCCATTCCTTGTCTCTTTCCTGGCTTCCGTTTTCCCTCTTAATGCAGGGCTCATTCCTGGTCTGTCACTTTTCTTCAATCTGTACTTTCTCCTTAGGTAACTTCATATGGTCCCATGTAATAGCCATCTTTGTGTTGATGGCTTGCCAATGCATACAAGTTCTGACCTTTATCTTGGACATTAGCATCGCACACAACACTGCTTTTTTGACAGTTCTAATAAGCATCTCAAGTCTCAGAACAACCCTTGATTTCTCTCCCTCAGTACTCTTTCTCAACACCTTGTCTCTCCATCTCTCTTATCCACCCAAATGTGCAAGCCAAAACCTAGGATTCCTGATTTCTCTCTTTCCCTTGGCCACTTGGTTGATCAAGTCCTGCAGATTTTACTGCCAAAATATGTTCCCCATATGTGTAATTTCTGTCACTTACACTGTCACTACTATTGACTGTCAGTATTTCTCACACAGACAACTGCACCAACCTCCTAAACGGCTTTCCAGCATTCGTCCTTGCCTTCCACAACCCTTTATTCACTTCGCAGCCAAGATATTCTTGCTAAGTCATAAATCCTAGCATGCCTCTCAGGTACATAAAACTCTCCAGTGACCACAAACTCTTAACCAGTGCGTCAAAGAAGGAGCCACAGGGAAATTCGAAAATACTTCGGGACAAATGAAAATGAAACATTCTGAAACTCAGTGATACAGCTGAGAGGGAAGTTTATAGCTGTAAATTTATATACATTAAAAAATGAAGAAAGATCTCAATAACCCAACTTAAACTTTAAAAACTAGAAAAAAGAGCTAACTATACCCAAAGCCATTAGAAGGAAGGAAATAATAAAGATTACAGTAGTTATTTAAGGAAAAAAGTGGAAAAGAAAAACAACAGAAAAATCAATAAAACCAAAAGTTGGTAAACCATTATTAAACAGACTGAGATAAACAGAAGACTAAGATTTCTTTTTTAAAGATTTAATTTGAGAGAGAGAGCATGAGTGGAGGGAGGGAGAAGCAGACATCCCACTGAGCAGGGAGCCCAACACAGGCTTGATCGATCCTAGGACCCCAAGATCATGACCTGAGCCGAAGACAGACATTTAACCAACTGAGCCACCCAGGCACCCCCAGAAGACAAATTTCTAAAATCAGAAGTGAAAATTGGGGACATTACTACTGACCTTGCAGAAATAGGATGAGAATACTATAAACAGTTGTATGCCACAAATTAGATACCTCATGTGAAATGGATGAATTCCTAGAAACACAAACTGCCAAAACTTAGTCAAGAAGAAACAAAATCTAAATGGTCTTGTAACATGTTAAAGAGACTGAATCAGGGGCGCCTGGGTGGCTCAATTGGTTTGGCATCTGACTCTTGATTTCGGCTCAGGTCATGATCTCAGGGTTGTGAGAGTAAGCCCCACATCGGGCTCTATGAGCAGCTGGGAATTTGCTGGAGATTATCTCTCTCCCTTTCCTTCTGCGCTTACCCCTGCTCATGCGCATGTATCCTCTCCCTTAAATAAATAAATCTTAAAAAGAGATTGAGTCAGTAATCAAAGAATTCTACCAACTATTTAAATAAGAATTAACACCAGAAAATAAAAGAGGGAACATTCTTAACTCATTCTATGAGGCCAATATTCTCTTCCTCCCAAAGTCAAATAAAGACATCACAAGAAAATTACAGACCAGTATACCTTATGAATGTAAGGTAAAAGTCCTCAACAAGATAACAAGCAAGCTAAATCCAGCAGCATATTATAAGGAATACATTTAATGGAGGAGGTAAAAGATTTACACATGAAAACTATGAAACGGTAGAAACTAAAGAACACCTAAATAAGTGGAAAGACCTCTCATGGTGCTTGATTACAAGACTTAATATTGTTAGAATAGCAGTACTTGGAAGTAATTTACAGATTTAATGCAATCCCTGTCAAAATCCCAACAGCCTATTTACAGAAATAAAAAAGCTGATCCTAAAAATCAAACGGAAATGAAAGGGATCTCACATAGCAAAACAACCTCAAAAAAATAATACAGTTGGAGTACTCACACTTTCCAATTTCATACTTAACTACAGAGCTGTGTTAATCAAAACTGCATAGTGCCTCAAGAAGGAGAGACATCTAGACCAACAGAATAGAAATGACAGTCCAGAAATACACCTGCTCATCTATGGTCAACTGAGCTTCATCAAGACTGCCAAGACCATTTGGTGGGGAAAGGAGTAGTCTTCAACACATGGTTTGGGGTAACTTGATAGCCCCATGCAAAACAAGTTTGTGCCCTTACTTTACACCATATATAAAAAAATAAATTGATCAAAAACCTAAAAGAGCTAGAACTATAAAACTTAAGATAAAAAAGCATAGGAGTAAATCTTCATGACCTTGGATTTGGCAGTGGATTCTTAGATAAGACACCAAAAGCACCAGCAACAGCAAAACAAAACAACAAAAAACCCAAAAGGTTAATTAGACTTTAAAAACAAGAAAACCTTTGTGCAAAGAGTACTTTCATAAAAGTGGAAAGACAACCTACAGAATGGGAGAAAATGCTTGCAAATCACATACCTGCTTAGGATCTAGTGTTCAGAACATATAAAGAATTCTTACAGCTAAGCCACAAAATGACAAATGACCCAATAAAAACAGGGGCAAAGGATTTGTATGATCATTTCTCCAGAGAAGATGTACAAATAGCTAACAAGCACATGAACATGCACGGAATATCATTAGTCATTTAGAAACTGCAAATCACAACCATAGCAAGATGCTGCATCACACCCACCAGAACGGCTAGAATCAAAGGACTGAAAATAAGTATTGGCAAGGTGGTGCAGGACTCGGAACCCCACGGGTTTCTAGGGGGAATAAACACTGCAGCTCCTGTGAAAACCAGTTTGGTGGCTCCTCCCAGAGTTAAATGTGGAATTATCCTGTGACTCCACAATTCCACCCTCTGGCAAAACACCCACAGAACTGAAACCAGATACTCAACAGATACAGTACAGGAATATTCGTCCACAGCAGCACAAGTCCTGACAGCCAAGCATGGAAACGCCCTGAACGGGCATTAAGTGAATAAGCGCAGCGTGTGCATTGATACACGAGCTGTTCCTCGGCCATAAAAAGGAAGAAGTACATGTTACAATGTGGATGAACCTCAAAAACACGCTATGGGAAAAAATAAACACAAACGGTTACACTGTAGGATTGGATTTCTATGTAAATCCACAGAGACAAAGCCAGTTGGGGGTTGCCAGGGGCTCAGGGAAAGGGAAGATGAGCAGTGCCTACTTCAAAGACAGGGAGTCTCCTTTGGTTAGGATGAACCAGCCGGAAACAGTGGTCGGACGGCTCCTGAGTGTATTAGACGCCGCTGGAGTGCGCTCTTAGCATGGTTAGCTTCCTGTTCTCTGCATTTCACCTGAATTTACTTTAAAAAAAATTACTGAAAACCCACAAAACCTCTCCAGAGGCGTCCTTTGCGCTTAAAACCCAACCTTTCGATCAGGGCCTGAAAGTCCCTTCGTGAGCTGGACTTTGCCTCTTTCCTCACCCTCACTTCTGGCTCCTCTCCTCTCATTCGGCAGACTTCCAGCACTGTTGCTTGCTTCCACCCTATTCCTGCCGTGGGGGCTTTGTCCTTGTGCCTCTGTTCCCACGGGCACGCGCTGTCCTCTGGGACTCACGTGAACGGTACTTCAGAGCGGTCCTCCCTCACAGTCCTATCAATCTCACTATCACTTCAGAAATTTCTTTCTTCCTCTCTTCCATAAACCCCACCGCTGTAAATTCTAGGAGAACAGGAACCTTGTCTGTCTTAGGTCACTATTTCCAGAGCCTAAAAACGTGCCTAGAAAAGTAAGCTTGCAACAGGGTGAATGAGTGAGGGAACGAATATAGCATTTCTAGGCAGGAATTTACTGAATTCAGGGAGGGCGGAGATGCCTGAAACTCTCAGATCCGCAAATGCTGTACAGTTGTTGCATTTCCACTAAAACGGATAATGAAGTATTAGTCAATCAGCCACCTGAGCATCTATTATATGTCACATGCTGTCCTCAGCTGTAGATACAGAGATAAGCAAGAAATGAACCGTTTCCTTGTACTTA